GATGAGAGAGAAACATCGATCAGCTGCCTCCTGCACGCCCCCCACTGGGGATGTGCCCGCAATCCAGGTACATGCCCTTGACCGGATTCGAACCCGGTACCCTTCAGTCCGCAGGCCGACGCTCTACCCACTGAGCCACTCTGGTTAGGGCTGTAGCATCTTTCTATTCCTCTTTGGACAGGGGCCCAGTGTGGCCTATTCATGAAGGAGAAGGGGCTAACCGTTAACCACCTCTGACCAACTTGTCATAGCGGCCGAACGCCTGTGGGTGTCTCCCCCATGGACCCCAAAGCTGGGCCCACAAACCCAGGCCAATGTTGGCACCCACAGTCCCAACAGGGACATGGCTCCTCGTTTCAGCAAAATGCTCATTGTCCGACCGGTCGCTATGACGTGCACTGACCACCAGGGGGCAGACGCTCAGCTAGAAGCCGGGCTCAGGGCTGGCGAGTGCCGTGGTGGTGGTGGGCACCTCTCCTGCCTCCAGCACATCCCCTGAGGGGCTCCCGGGCTGTGAGAGGGCACAGGCCAGGCTGAGGGCCCCCCCCGCACCACCACCCAAGTGCACAAATTTTGTGCATCGGGCCTCTAGCTTTTCATAAAAGTGACCAGCCCAGCCCTGCTCGTGTGGCTCAGTGGTTGAGCTTCGACCTATGAACCAGGAGGTCCCGGGTTCGATTCCCGGTCAAGGGCACATGCCTGGGTTGCAGGCTCGATCCCCAATAGGGGGCGTGCAGGAGGCAGCCTATTGGTGACTCTCTCTCATCATTGATGTTTTTCTCTCTCTCTTCTCTCTGAAATCAATAAAAAATAATATTTTGAAAGTACACATACCTTTTCCTCCCCTCGTTTCCACCTGAAGGAGCTTGAGGGACACACAGGTGTCCAATAGCAGCTCGGTCCCCCGGGAGCTGGTACCCAGACGGGCGGCCACTGCATCCGATGCCAGTGGCCCCGGGGCCTCCGCGAGGACCTCAAACACTCCCAGCTCGCTCGCGGCAAAGAGAACCTGGGAAGAATTGAAAGCAGGGAGTCAACGGATCGTTGTACAGCTGTGTTCATGGCCGCATGGCTCATAGCAGCCAGGAGGCGGGAGCTACCCAAGTGCCCATCGATGGATGAGTTATACAGGGTCTGTCCAGAGTGGAATAGTATGCAGCAAGGAAAAAGGACCGGCATTCTGACACCTGGTACAACACGGATGGACCTTGAGGTCACGAAGTGACGTAAGCCAGACACGGAAGGACACATCCCGTAGGATTCTACTTAGATGAGGTCCCTAGAGTCACAGATTGGCAGAGACAAAGTCGATGGTGGGCGCCAGGGGCTGGGGGAGGGGCTGAGCAGTGAGTGTTCAAGGTGGACACAGTGTCTGTAGGGACCTGAAGCCGATGGGCGTGCAGGAGGCAGCCGATCCATGAGTCTCTGGCATCATGGATGTTTCTCTCTCTCTTCCTCTCCCTTCCTCTCTGAAATCAATTAAAAATGTATTTAAATAAAAAATAAAAAATGCCCTGACCGGTGTGGCTCAGTGGATAGAGCGTCGGCCTGCGGACTGAA